CCTTTCATCCGGATGCACTGTCTTTAGATGACATGCCAGTTAGCATATAAACTGCACCTATGCATGTATATTAGTAACTGTTACCAAATAAGTATTATTTTTTAAATAAATGTGAAAAAACTGATAAATGGATTTGAAACACATTGGGGCTGTCCAGATTGTTGTGAAAATGGTCCTGGATTTGCAGTTGGGATTGCATTTGCAAATTTGTTACTTGCTGCCATTGCAACCGTGTGTTTTTTTATTATTGGAACGATATCGTCGTTTATAGTACAAAACCGCATATCAACAAAATGCAAAACCACTTATCAAGATAATGCAAAGCCGAATTGAACAAACTTTATCAGGCCGATTCTGAACAGAAACTCCCTGCGAGTTTTCTCTCTTTTATCTTGCCTCCTATCATGAATAAAAATTCCCCCGAAGATTTGTTTTTATTAAATGACGGAGTTGAGCTGTAAAAAAAAGTGTCCAACAGCTCTCTCGAAGTTCGAATTTAAAATAGGTAAAATTTTAATAATGGATTCAATTGCAAAATATCACAATTGAATGTACGTAGTGCAGGCATAATGCTATAACCCGCTTTATTTGCAATATAAATACATACATGCGTATATATTTCTTTAATTTGCTTTTGTTGAATGCTTTATTTTAAAACGCTTTTATCAAGTTGCAATTTTGTGTGTCCAGACACCATTTTTAGCTATAATTACAACGCTTTTTCATAGATTATAATCAAAGTTCCTATACAAAAGTCTAGACATTAACCTCGACGGTAGGCCTTGCCGGAAGTACTTAAATATTGCGCCTAAAAATATGCACTACATACGCTACAGCGGAAATGGACGATAAGCCATTTCTTTAAATGAAATTAATTTTTAACATTTTGCTTGCATATGCATAAAATAAACCACACAAATATTTGCGCAAATACCAACTTTTACAAATAGGAATCGAGTTAGAATCTTATATCTACTAATTTGTATTTGTGCAAATAATTGTGGGGTGTATTTTGCGCAATAGTCTTCTCTTCTCTTTTTATTGCAAGTTAATTATTTTAATATCGGTTGCAAAATTTTATACAGACAAGACTAAAAAGTACAAAATAAATCAAATAAAAAAAACTTTTTAATATACCACGCTATATCTTTGTATTGCATGCGCTCCACGTTGTTCGTTTTCAATCCCATAAATTGTTTATAAAGACTTTTGATAAAATTTCAAATCAAAAGTTATCAAAACAAATTCTATGGGACTGAGAAATATTGTTTTCTACTTTTAGTCCATTTATAAAAGCGTGGTATATTAAAAAGTTTTTTTTTTAATTCATTTATTTTCAATTTCATTCCATTGTGAGTTGCGCTCAAAGGAATTATTATTATTATTTTTTATTAAAAAAAAATATAATCCGAATTTTGTCCGATTGACAAACAAAACGATTTACTGGTAATGTATCTTTTTCTATATATACACAAATTAATTCTAATAATATATGTACATACATACATACATATATATGTATATACATAATATTAATTTTTATTCCTTTACGTAGACACTGAAGCAATCG